AAGTCGATAAATGTTCGTACTTGTTATTCAACTCTGAAATATGGACTTAACGAATTAATTCCTTTTTAAATTTTAGAGAGTAGTTTACAGAGTGTATAACGGAAAAGTAAAGAAAATTGGTGTAAACCGGATTTACAATGGGAAAAGTGAGACACAATTTTTAATTTTCTTATTCGACAATCTAATAAAAATCAAAAATATGCTTTTTGCAATTGTATACGCGTTACAAAGTTCCACAAACAGTTGAGCGTATCGAAAGATGTCGAATTTTCTCAATTTATTTAAGTTTTAGACCGAAAAGACCTGGAATTTGATTAATTTTTAATCATTTATTAGTCATGGCATCTTTAATCGATTATAATGAGACTTTGTATGTGCATGTAACATCAGTAGACAAAAAGATTTTAAACTTTGTTTCAGGTTGTTGCAGCACCGTATAATGATCATCTTTGCCTGGCTGTAGCACAGGAACTAGAGAAAGCTCATGGAGGCTGGGTCCTTCCTGCCTAATTTACTTCCAATTCTATTTTACATTAATCAATGGTAAGGTAAAGGTGTAAAGATATAAATACTGGGCTTATAACATGTCATCACGACCTCCGTTTTTAAAGGTGTGATGAACAACCCCGCTCTTTTACGAGAATTGATATATCTTTTCGTCGATTATATCCACATTATGCTGTGAACGAGATGTTATTGTTGATTCAACGCAACTGTCGATTCTGCTGAATGCATCTGATAATAGCAGTCAAAATAGCAATAATGAGATGTACATTTTTGCTCAGGTGTATGTTAATGTTATTACTTCTTCTACTTACTGATTACTTCCTCGTTATTATTTACTGTCTCTATCGATAGTTTAATTGTAAGATGACATGTATAGTACGATAATTGGATTACTGAATACTGAAATTCTTTATTTATCACAATGTGGGGTGTTTTGACTTTATCTACATCAACACAAGTACCTACGATAATTGACTACCGGAGAGATCTGCGATATCTATAGGATTTATGGGAAAATTATGATTACAATTGTATATAAGAAAATGCACCTATTACANGAGGCCTCCACTCTTACAAGGTGCAACGAGGAGGTGAGCAGTGACAGCAGAACACCGTTCGTTGAGTAATCAACATATACGGTTCCGGTCCCTTTTCGGAGTAATTCGAAAGACCGAAGCGGAGTGCGGAAGGCCTCCGAATAATATAGTCCACTTAGCACGCTGCTGATCTGATTCAGCATGCGGCTCAAAATTGAAGTAAGCCCGTATTTATTTAATCGTCATCTTTCAGTGATCGCGACAGCAGACGGCAGGAGCGAGGGAGCCGGTGCCGCCGCTCGACGCGAGTAAAGGAGGATTCAAGGACGGCCAGCCGGACGCGGACAATTCCCGGCTATCCCGGATCCTTCGAGATCCTCCAGGAGAAAGACGAATTGAATTGGAATAAACCAGGTTTCGATTTAGTTTAATTTGCTGATTCCGTTATTTCGAACACCCGTTCTCCCGGCCGAACCCCGTTAGGGCCGCCTATCCCTAATAACATATACAGGGTGAGTCTCCCATCATGACGACCTCAAATAACTCGTAAGGTGTTCGTCGTACGAAAAAATGTTTCATACAAAAGTTTCAGTGTTTGAGAGGGCCGCCATACTGACGCACTTTATTTTTTTACTGGTGGAGGCGCTGAAGCTACGCTAAGGTCATCGCCCATTTTTTAAATGGATCGGTATATTTTTGCTTCCGTATCATGATAGAGAATCTTAAAACGAATTCAACGACCTATAACACAAAGACATTGAAGGTCATATAAAGCGGAAAAAGGCGAGAATACTTACGGTTTTTGTAATCTATTACAGAAGNAAATATAGTTGTTTATGTATTTAATCTTCTCCCTCCCTTCGCGTCGTGGCCAGTGGCGTTGTGCCACGAATAACTGCGGCTGCGGATATTGGTCCTTTGTTGATAGTTGGTGACTGGTGGTCGAAATCTCTCAGAATTAAAAAAGGCAGTAACCAACAGCCTTTTGAAAATTCGAAGCGCTATGAAAAGAGCTGCAACGTTTCGCCGCAATGAAAATGTTCCATTGCAGTACAAAATTGCTGGGGTGATTAAAGATTTGTAAAATGTAGCTAGCTACGTATTTGGTGAGCATCAAGATTGTGCCTCGCTGAAGTATTTTTGTGATGAAACGTCAAAAGAAGGCGAGGCAAAATTGTCCCCCAATTACGAATGGCAGGATTTTATTCGAATGTAGAAAAGGTAATGAGACGCGTCATAGATAATGCCGAAAGTTTATTGTACGACTTTACCAGCGATTCTGCAGAAAGTAGTAATACAATTAAGTAATACAATTAAGTAATTTAATTAAGAAATACTCGGAACTACGTTCTGAACTGATAGACTTTATAAAGATCGCAATAGATAGAGAGAATTCGGATTTAGACGCGTACATGCTCTCCTAGATAACTCCTCGTGGCTAACTGCCGGTAAGATCGGCGCTCGCAATTAGGAGACACTCGATTACGTAATCGCATAAGGATAGACAGACAGGCTATCCCTTTTCGCACTCGTTAAGGGCGCACTCTTTGCACGCACCGCCTAATTCGAATCGTTAGGAGCAGTATGGGAACCGTAATTTGTTATTACCACAACAAATACATTGGCGGCAAACGTGTACATTTTGGAAAGAAAGGCTCTTACCAAACACGCGTAAAAGCACGTACGTCGAACGTTACTTACTGCTTCGAATTTTAGAAAAATTTGTTGCAAGAGAGAAACGACCTCGTGCCAAAATCTTGTACGAAACATTCTCTATCCCACTGAATTAAGAAATGCCGCAGTTGCGTGGAGTAAAGAAAAAGAGATTTTGGCACGAAAAAAATTGCAGGAGATTTTGGGAATAGCTGTAAATGACAGCGGTTTATTCATTGACAGCGAATACCCACATTCGTATTCGAATTCTCGAAAATATGTGTTGAGTTCTCGAAAGCAATAAAAGCGCTTCCGAGCCGGAGCACCGGCGAGTCGGCAACTCATTGTCTCACAATGCGAATCACGCGATTTTCGTAGATCGCAATTTCCCGACTGTTCAAAGCACTCTTCAAAAAACTAGCTTACGCCCATAGAAGATTTCTGAGACGATTACGTCTCCTGATTTCTTACGGACGCTAGCTTAAACTCATATTAAAAGCGATATGAATCTAAAGATTTCTCTTAGATTCGTCAAGGCCTCACTGATTACAGTGCCGTTAACGGGATACGTCCAGGAGGATGCATCTGGGCCATGGGTTTCGCTCCGGATCATCATAGTCAATCGTTGGCTGACCGCCGGTCAGAGGGCGGCGCTATCGTAAAGGGCCTGCAGTGGGTTTCGAGTTTCTCACCCAGAACTGCAATGCACCGCGAATGTGTTAGGTGAAGACCTAACGGGGTCCGGAAGCACCTTTGTGTTAGGTGAAGTCCTAACGGGTTCGGAATTCGAGGAGGAGAAGGCTGAGACAGGAGTTGAATTAAATAAAAGAAATAAATTCCAATTTGGAATTTGAACAATTATNGAGGTTGGAAAAATGAAGGAGGAAAAGAGGAGACTAGGAATACTGAAAATAGAGATGGTAAACAAATTCATGGAAGTGGAAGAGAAAGTAAAAGTATTAGAGGAGAAGATTGAAGAATCGGAGAGGGAACTAGAGAAATGGACGAAGAAGATGGAGGAGAAAACATGACAAACTGGATGGAGGGAACGAGAGAGAGGACGAGGGAGGAAGACCCTGGCGGAAGCTGGAGGAGCGTAGGTGGAGGTACGAGAAGAAGCAGCAGTGGGACCACTGGAGGGGAGGAGTTAGAGGGCAGAATGAGTAGATTAAGCCAGATAAGTATGGATAGTAGACTTAGTGAATGGGTAGTGAAAAGAATAAGAAGGATTATGAATGAAAGGGTGAAAGAGGAAAAAGCGAACAACATAATAATAAAAGGAGCAGAGATGTCAAGAGAAGGGAGGGAATTAGTCAAATGGGGGGAGGAATTAATTAGCGATAGAATTGGGGTGAGGGTGGTGATAAAAGAAGCATGGACTGCAGGGAGTGTGGGGCTATTTAAGCTGGGCAGTGCGGCAGAAAAACGGGAAGTTATGAAAAATAAAAGAAAACTGATGGGAACAAGGATTTTCATTGAGAACGATACGTCGTATGAGGAAAGAAGAGTGCAGGAGGAGATTAATAGATGGGAAAAAAAGAGCAGAGGGTGGAAAGTCAAAGCGGGCTTTGGGAGAATAAAGTTTGAAGACAGGTGGTTTAATTGGGAAGAGAAAGAAAAAGTAGAATCTCTGTGGAGAGGGGGAAAGGGGGGAAGGGGGACAAATGGAAGGACAAGGGGGAGGCAGAGAAAGAGACGAGGAAGCCTCATACAGACGAAAGGGATGAAAATTTTGGATAGGCCAGGAATGGAACGTGGGTGTGGGAGAAAAGGGGGAGGAGAAAGGGGGAGAGAGAAAGGTGTTATTTTGGAACATAGCGGGGATATGGGGGAAGGACAGGGGGTTTTGGGATTTTGTAGAGGAGGTGGATTTTATATGCCTGACGGAAACATGGGTGGAGGAGAAGGAGGGAAAGGATTTAGTGGGGAAACTAAGTAGGGATTTCGAGTGGAAGATATTTCCGGCTAAAAGGGAGTTTAAGAAGGGGAGAGCCAGGGGTGGGATAATGATAGGAGTGAAAAGAGGATGGTGTGAGGAAGTAGTCGAAATGGGTGTAGAGATGAGGGAGGGGCTAGTGAATTCGGTGCTTAGGGATAAAAGGGGGCCCCTGACAATTTGATCAGTGTACAGTTCGGGAGACATCAAAAAATT